TTGGTTCCGAATCCCTAAATACCAAGTGCGCTAAACAGCGTATTTCAGCGATTTTTATTCATGGGGAGGTTTATATAAAATCATAAAACGGAAGAAGAAAAAAATACTCATCAGAGCAAGCTCTATTACATTTGCCACAGGATGATCTCTCCTGTAGCCTTTTTCAACATTTCCTCTTATCTTACATTTAAAGAAATTTTTCAACGCGATGAATATGAAACAAAAAATTCTCGCTTCCTTAATATTCCTTGTGTGTTTTTTCGCAGGCGTGACGAAGCATTCGAATCAGCCACCAACAGAAAACGATAAGCCTATTCATGCTTCGTTGCTTCATACTGTATTGTTGTATTTCTTTGTAGTTTTACTTTTCGGCTGTATTTTTGGCGAATTAGTAGTTGTTTTTGAAACGCAGTTTTGCATCTGGATCCCAATATCCACTCATTTCGTAGGCCTAAAGCCGCATTGCATTCTGATAAACATGATGTTGCATTATATGATGCTTCTTCCGCCTCTTTTTTTTTTTTTTTGCTGTTACACAAGAGCGGCTGCCTTTCTAATCCCTCTCATTTCCTCTCACATTCAGCCTCCCATTTCCAGTTTAATCAATAAATACCAGTTACAGGTATTTGTTTGTAACTTTCTTCATAAATGATGAATTAATCTATACATATAGTACAGCATAATATACTACGTGTAGTAACCGAAAAGTCATTTAATATGTATCCCGCAAATCAATGGTATATATTTCCACGAGAAAATCACGGAATTGATTCCCCGCGAAACACGTACCTGAATACCATGCATTACACAACCATAGCATAGTAAAAACAAAACAAAAATAAGTAGACAAAAACACATACTTTCGCCGCAGTGCTGTACCGGGGCCGTGATGTAGTGAAAATAGTGTACTAGCTTCACACACAGAGTAGTGACTGCGGTCGAGAGACCTCGTCCCCAGCGCAGGGACCTTCGCTCGTCTCCCTCCTCCTGCCCTCTCCTCATTCCCCTGCCCGCTGCGCCTCCCTCCTCCTCCCTCTCCTCATTCTCCTGCCCGCTGCGCTCCCCACCCCTTCTCCCTCCTTCCCCCATTCTTCACTCACACCTGTCGACCTTACCTGCCGCCGCACCAGGAAAACCTCAAAACTAAAAGCGGGGTGGTTTGCCACACACATTTACTGTAGAAAGGATTTCTTGCCTTCATCACGTGAATTATATCCGTATCCTCGGACTTTATAATACTGTGCATGATGTGGTCGGTATACTAAAATGTTGCATATGTTGCCCATAACCATACACGACATGCAAAAATATATGTTCAATTTTCTTGTTAGAAGCGTAATGTGTAATTCCAACGATTTTCGACACAGTTTAAATGAACTTTATCTACCAGTATGCGAGATTACTCTAAAGTAACACGAACACAGAACCGCGGGACAAATGGACGTTTCGAGTAGAAATGCCTGACCGTGCGGCGGCAACGCTGAGGGACGCGGCTCCGTAAAATGCTTTGGCATCCTCGTCCCTGTTACGTAAGTGGCGACGGCATCTTTTTCTGGAAGATCATGATGAAAATAGTTAAAATGATAACAGTAATAACAAGAACAAACACAACATTAATGTTGATAGTAATAATAATGATGATGATAATAATAATAATGATGATGATAATAATAATAATAAAATGATAATACTGATAATGATGATAATAATAATACTGATAATGATGATAATTATATAAAAATAAGATAGAAAGTAAGACTAGCCATAACAAAAGAAATGAACAATAATAATGATAATGATAATAATGGTAATAATGATAATCATAGTACTAATACAAATGATGATAATAATGATAATAATGGTAATGATGATGATGATAATAATTATAATGATAATAATAATTATAATAATAATAATTATAATGATAATAATAATTATAATGATAATAATAATGATAATAGTGATAATAACAATTATAACCACAATGAAAAGGATAAGGATAATAATGGTAACCATAACAATAATAATGATAACGATGATAATAATGATAATAATGGCAATAATAATAACGACGATAATGATAATAATAGTAATAATAATAATAATAATAATAATAATAACAATATTAATAACAGCAGTAATAATGATGAAAGTAAAATAATAATAATAACAATATTAATAACAACAAAAATAATAATAATAATAATAGTAATATTGATAATAATAACAATCATAATTATAATGATAATAATGATAATGATGTTGATAATGATACTAATGATAATGATGTTGATTACAATAATAACAATAACAGAAATCACAATGATAATAATGATAATATTGATTATGTTAATATATGTCAATATACGTGCACTCACACACACTTCTAGATTCAATCATCACCAATTCGGAAACTCCAACGGAAGGTCCGCTGTCCCCGCCGCCGTTGACCTTGTGACCGGCGGAGAGCCTTTGAGCTCATCGATCACATCCTCTTGAT